ATAATTATCTATAGCCGTGCTGCCTGCTATGACTTAAATAAGCTATAATATTAATATTGTTAATGACGTTATTGTCACTTAGCCAGCATAATAAAAAATTTTAAAACTTTATTTAAGTCCAAAATTAATAATTTATATAAATATAACCTGGAATTTATAGTATAACAATTATAACTTAAATTAGTAAATCTCTATTTATATATTCTGTGATCTCTACTTTATAAGTTTTAACCATGACTAGATAACTTTTTCCAATTTAGGGCCGTTCTTACAATGTCCGGTTAAAGTTAACGAACACTTAACCGGTGGAATTCTGCCCGTAAAAATCCCACTATAACCATTAACCGACACTTAACGACTTAACAGTTAACCAGACGTTGTAAGAACGGCCCTTAGGGCCAGTTGTATCGTCTATGGTTAAACTTCGATTACGCTTAATCTTTAAGCTATAAGCTTAACATATGTTTCAAATTTTAAAAGTTCATCTTAAGAGGAAGCAGATATATGAGAGTTAAAAAAACTGGTTGAAACTTCTCGTGTAAAGATACACTGTCATTGCTAGAAGTTGGCTGGCGCATGGCTGTCGGCTGTCCGCTCAGATCCTTAAACAGAACTTGAAAAAGGTATAAGTACGATTATTTATTGCACAAGAAATAGTTAATATTTATGCAAACTTAAAAATATCAAAAATCAGAATTTGAATAAATATATTATTAAATTATTATTTGTTATCATTATCATTATTTACTAGGATAAATAATTCAAAATTCAAATATGGATGTACTTCAGTACTAGATTATATATAATGCTGGATGCCTAGATCAACCATCAACCACTATCTACCTAATTAAACATGTAATATATAGATAATAGATTACAATTATAATACTATTACTTCAGACACACACCAACCCAATTAAAGAACAGTTTTAAGAAATAGCCTTTTACACAGTATATACACATTTAAGAAATGCATTAATAGTATTAATTTTATATTGAAAACATGCAATTACTTTGTTAATTTATTATAATAATAACAATTTTTTATCTAAATATACAAGTGTACAATTTTATACCGGGTTCAAATTTGTGCAGTACCTAAAATAAAAAGAATTGCAAATTAAAATCTATTTCATATCGTGATTCGTAGTCAAGTAAAATTAACTAAATATTATCGATTCTATATTATGTTCATATAATATGGAGTTCATCGTCCATCACAAAAATAATTAATTTTTAAAAACTAAAAAAGAAACAATCTGGAAGTAGATATGTCTGTATGAAAAAAAAAACCCACAAAAAAAATGTCATTATAATTTATTGCCAATAAAAAATTAAAAATGCATAACATCATATTGTATGTTCTCAATATAGGACCAGTGCCAGTGCCCCCCCCCCACACACAGTAGCCTTGAAATCTTCCTTATTCTAACTAACTCAATATAATATATTATAACATATAAAGCTAAGCTAGTACCTATAGTATTATTTCCTGTACTACGCCTTATCGTACTATAATAAACTGGCTATATTCTATATTTTAAGTCCAATTCTTCCATACACTTAAATTAATATGTATAGTAATAGTAGTAATTACTAAGTATAATACTTAGTAAATAACAAACACAATTAATGACGAGTGACACGTTGGTATTAAAAAATTATAGCTATAAAAAAAGGTATTAATTATAGACCTATTTAATTATATACACTAAAAATGTATCAAACAATATATTAATATCAAACATGTAAAATTATTTACCAATATTATAGTGGTAAAATATTTTTTATAAGGTTAGGTAGGTAACACATAAAATAATTAAAACAATTCGATGACTTGGAGTCGCACACTTACACGCGATCTAGATAATAAATTAATAAATATATACTTCTCTAGTAGATAGAGAATCTCTACATCGTGCTTGAAAAAAATATCCATAATTTATTTGTATCTTTTCTTTTAAATTTTGATGATTGTTCAGTGTTCTGATTTAAAACGTACTAAACATATTGTACAAGTAAGTATTGAACATGACACATGAGTACATAATTTCTAAATAATATCAAAAATTTGAAGAAATAGATTTTTAATAACTTTGCTTTTCTATAATAGATAAAAATAATAATGGCTTATCACCATMACGTACTTAATGAAAAATAATTACAGAGATCAATATTCAAAATGTAAAAAATTTAATAATTCCATTATTCACTAAGACTGACTAAGAGAATAGAATACAATGTTTTTTAAGCGTTTATATAAATAAATTTACAGTAATGCAGGGGTTTGTCAAATGCTCTCCCGCAAGCCACATGCGGCACATGGACAAATTTTATCCGACCCGTAGACAAGAGAAAAAAAATAAAAACCGTTAATATTCTGATGTTGTAATTTATTATTTTAGATTCTGAGCGAAGCGAGGAATGCATTGATTTTACCATGATGTGTGTTTTTTAGATTCTGAACGAAGTGATGAATGTATTGATTTTACAATGATGTGTGTGTGTTTTTTTTTGTGTCCATGTACAGCATAACTAGTCGAAATAATGCTTCAATTTCAAACTTTGGGGGTGGTTTCCGATGTAAAAGTGAATACCCTAGGTGCATTATAAAGGTCAAAAGTTAACATTTTTCAAAAAAATCAAGAAAAACCAAAAAAAAAATGACAGAAAAACGGGAATTTTACGCAAAACCAGTTTTCGACCAAATCGATTTTTTTTATATGGTTGTAATTTAAAAATTAATCAGTGTAAATACTTGAAATTTTCACCAAATGTTAAATGTTAGTGTTATCTAGGTATATACAGTACATATATAAGAGAAATTTTTTTTGAAGTGTCAGTAAAAAAATTTAAGATGACCAAAAAAACTTGAAAATTTAAAACAAGGGGTTTCTTATGAGTTGTTCTTATTGTAGATAAAAAAATTAAAAATCGTTAGTCACAATTTTTTTTATAAGTGTTTATAGTTCAAATGTTTACGAAATCTGTCGAAAACGCGAAAATTTGCAAGTAATTTTAAAGTTGAAAAATCATAAAATTTTTTGTGTTTATAACTAAGGATTAAAAATACAACACTAAGTTTTCTATTAGTTTTCCTTCAAGTAGCTATAGAGAAAACTCGAAACATCATTATAGGAACAATTTTAAGTGCGTTTGAATTTTAAATTTTTACGAAATAGCATAACGATAACGATTTATCCTCAAACGATTTTAAATATTTGTTATTATTCAAAAAGTATAAGTTGTAGATACTTGAAAATTTTACCAGTTATTTAAATTGGCATTTTCTTTACATGATTTAATTTTCAAAATATTTTGACTTTTTTTCAGATATTTATAGACAACTGTA